TCTCTCTCTCTCTCTCTCTCTCTCTCTTCCCCATCCCCCAAATTCTCCATGCCTGTCTGTCTCTCTGTATGCCTGTCTGTCTAGCTGCCTGTCTGCCTTTCTTTTTTTTTTACACCAATCTCGTTCTTCTTCTGTCTGTCTACATAACTTCTTGACAGTCTTTATTATTCCAGTTCATGTTTAAGTGGTCGGGCGCATGACTGTTGTGGATACAAGGTTGTTATGTGGTTTTTCATTTTCAAAAATTAGAGAGCCGCTAATGACATAAGGGGTTAATTGACATGTCCCGTATCGTTTGCCAAGGATAAACTGATGAATAATGCGAGGTCATGCGTACATAATAAGACTACACAGCAAGACTTATTCTTGAATTGAGCATAGCAGGGTGACTTGGCAGTGCTGAGAAACCGAGGTCAAAGTAACTACTAAGTCAGCCTCCCTGATAGCACTATTCTATGATCGTATTTTTAGCTCTTTTTTTTTCTTTCCTTTTTAAAAATCTTTTTTTTAAAGATGAGCCATTCTCAATGGATCGGCCCAAAAAGTAGCAGCCACCCGAACTTTTAAGCTGTCAATTCGTGCGCTGTTCAGTAGATGTTTGCTCACCATCATGCAATATAACCACAACTACAGCAACCACCACTATCCCTCCAACAAAAAGAACCACCACCATTGCAACCATCAAAACCACAACAACCACCATCGCCACCCTACCACAACAGAAACTACCATTACAATCATAAAAACACCCCAACCGCAATAACCGCCATCACCACCACTGTTGCAGCTACACCACCAGAGCAACAACCACCACAACATCGACAACCAATACCATCAGTGAGCATCAGGATAGCAACAACAGCAATTTATACATAAATCATAGTCACACTGATGTCAATATCACTTATGAAAGACACTTCGCTACCTCAGAATTACAAAAGTTCTATCTGCTCAATACCTAATTTGGAAAAAAATTGACGTCAAAGATTTTGTGTTTCACATCATGTCAAGTAGTTTCGAAAGCAATTCTCTGAATATCTTGATAACGACTCCGAATAATCTTACAATTTTGATAGAGCAGATAGAACATTGGTTTCTGACCTCATGATCTGAATAACTCAAAACGGCCAAAACTGTCTTATAAAATTTTATAATTCTAAAGTAGAGATTTATTGAAAACGAAAACTTTGTACACAAGGCTAGAGCAATAAATCCACACATCCTCACGGGGAAGTGCAGTCGATTACTCAATTATATACAATCATGAAATCAGCTGAGAACTGACCAGATAAAAAGACCTCCGATGAGACAGCCCCAGTAGGAGTGACGTGCACGCGGGTCAGGATCAATGACGTTCAAAATAGTCCTCTGACCTGCCTGAGCAGTCTCCCACACTTCTGACACACTGCCTACTTCCCACACACCTGCAAGGAGTACCATTGAATGGAATTGATGAATGACGCCAAAATTGTGATCGTCTGGGAATCAAGTTTTCCGGTACATTATACCAATCGGATTTATTTGATTGAGTTAAGGTCCGCCAGATTTTCCTTCTTGGATGGGACAAGAGTGACCATTTTGGCATCACACGACCGAATTCAGCTAAATTCGAAAGTTGTCTTCAAAACCAAACGCGTTTGTAATTCACGGTCGCGAGTCGAATCGGTCCTATTGTGCTAAATAAATGCTCCATTCATGAAGAGGAATATGGCTGGCTGTGACTCAGTCCGATAAATCCGGTTGGCAGTGTGGACTGGGTCTCAATCCACCTCTTTTTAGGGCCACACTCTATGGCACTCATATCAAAGAACGAAAAGATTCAAAGGTACATGGAAGTCAAAATCGCACTTCTTGGCCTCGTGACGAAAAACCTATTACAATACATACGCACACGTTGCTTTGAGACACACACACAATGACATCTTACCGAAAATTCCTTTCATCAAATTATTTTATAAACCAGCTCTCGCAAAAAGCCCGATATCTTGGACTAGGAGTTCACTGGTTATTTCATTCATTTCATTTACGTGCTACTACAATGAATGAACAGTAATTATAGGTAGGTGTGAGAAAAGGTCATCATTCAAAATACTTTACAAATGTTTTAAAAGCTAAATTTAGTTCTTAATACATTCACGAAAAAATTCTTTTCCTATCTAATCTTATTGCAAATTCCTACCCTTTATGATGATGGTGAAGATGCCAATGAAAACAATGACTGTCTGGAAGGCGTCTGTCCAGATTACACTTTTGATGCCTCCAATGGTAGTGTAGATTGTGCCGATACCACCGACTATAGCCACAGACATCCACAATGGAATACCAGCTGAGGCCTGGAAACAGTGGAAAAAAGGGTAAGAAAAAAATAAGCACAAACACAACTTAAGAGTAAATAAATGAACAAAAGCAGAAGCAACAGCAACACCAGCACCAACAGCCAAAAAATCCCCCCAACAAAAACAACAACAAACAATAACAACATAAAAAACAATAAACTATAAATTACACTTTTATTTGTCCCAGAAGGGCACTTTGGTTCACAATGGCAAACATACATAAACATACATAAACACATAATTATAAATACGTACATACGTAAATACATGCATAAAGACACACATACATACATACATAAATACACAATATTACACAAATTCTGAACAGTTTACAACCATGCCACTGTCGGTCCCAAGTGTGCAGCGCTCTGAAAGTTTGAAAGTAAGATGAACTCATACGCGAAACTTAGAGAGAGTACACAAAAACAAATAAACAACACACCTCCCCCCAAAAAACAAAAACAAAACAACAACAACAACAAACCCACAAAAACAACCAAACAAACAACAAACAACAACAACAAACAAACAAAACAAAACAAAACAAACAACAACAAAACAACTAAACAAACTAAACAAAAAAACAAAAATAAAACTCCCAATATTTCAAACCTGATGGAAGACGGTACGAGAGGGTCCCCATAACTATGCACATAGATAACAACTCCTGAAACAATGGAAGCGACCATCGCAGTACATTAGGTTCATATTACACAATATCATTCGCTGAGGATTGGGCAGAGTGTCAGACAAAATAAATTTGTTTAAATACCAGACAACCTACATACCAAACACGTCGAATAATGCAATGAACATTTCAAGCTAAACAATATGTAATGCCCTGTTCAAAAGCGTATAATATTTTGAAAGATGTTTACAGGTGAAAGAGAGTAGTCCGGGTGTCTTAAATGCCCTGTAGGTAAGTTTTTTTTGGTGTCTTTTTATTAAAGTGTGTACTCAGATTGCAGTTGCTCAAAGTAGCCGTTTGGGGAGGGGGGGGGATATACATAGAGAGAGGAAGGGAGAAAGAGACGGCTAGGGATAAGACAGAGAGAGAGAGAGGGAGAGAGAGAGAGAGAGAGAGAGAGAGAGAGAGAGAGAGAGAAAGAGAGAGAGAGAGGGGGGGGGGGTGTAGTACGACAAAAACTATGTAGGCTATGTTCCTTTTGTGTTGAAGACGGTGTTGCTATATTATTTAACATCATTTTGCTGTGTGCTTCCTGGGCAGAGCTGTACACCCATTGCAGTATCCACCATTTATGAGAGGTCGTTTTTAACTTGACAGAAACACTGGTTGCAGCAGATGTTTTCTTTTGTAGGATTTAGAAATATTAAAATTGCTGTTTTGGAAGGAGCGCATATTTCGTAGGTCAACAAGTTTGCTCCAAGCATGGCTTCAGTGGCATGACTGCCCGACCCCACTTCAGATAGGTTTCTCATTATTCGTGAATTTCGTTCTGGTCGGCGTTTACTCTCAATGTTCCTATTCCCGACTGGCCTAAAGTCATAGCCAGCGTCAACCAGGTCTCCTTATGAGAGTTGGGACTCTAGTGCGAAGCGACAGCATAATAATTGATAACCGTGGCACTGCTTCCTTGAGTTGTCTGTAAAACTATGACAATGCAAAATGTATGCGTCTCACGCCGATTACCTCCTCAAGAAAGATCAGAGTACCGTATGCCCTTTGAGATCGCATCATGACAAGAGGAGGAGGAGGAGGAGGAGGAGGAGGAGGAGGAGGAGGAGGAGGAGGAGGAGGAGGAGGAGGAGAAGAAGAAGAAGAAGAAGAGAAGAAGAAGAAGAAGAAGAAGAAGAAGAAGAAGAAGAAGAAGAAGAAGAAGAAGAAGAAGAAGAAGAAGAAGAAGAAGAAGAAGAACCTTTTTAAAATAACCATAAACAAATTGTTTTCTATGGAAACCATCGAACAACAAAAGTAATGACAATATGCAAAGTCAAAATTCTAAATAACTAAACCGACACTAACTTAAACGGCCGATCATGTAGAAAAGACAAAGAAAATTTACATACCTGCAATGCAAGGGCTGGAGACAGTAGAGCAATAGCCATGTAGCAAACTGTGGTGAGCATACCAATGACAGTGCTCAGCATTCGAACTGTATTGGATCGGTACCTAGTAAAGGACACCTGGTTGGTTAAATACTTGTTCAGTTAAGAATGGGTCTTGATGGGCAATGTCGTTGGCCTATGCATAATACATCAAATTGATCTATGTTTTGCACCATCATAATTTACATGGAATTCCAATCGGGCCACAGAATTCTACACTTAAGTGTAGCATTCTGTGAATCGGGCCCATTTCATTCCTCGCCCAAACAATAGATCTAATCCGGAAATGGGTGGGCCTACGTGCTTTGTGATTAGCTGTTCACCTTGGCCTCATCGAAACGGAGCCGATTGTGACCGTGATAATCAAACCTGATTGATTTGCAGGATTTTCTCAAATTGAGCAGGAATTATAGCTTTTGCCTCTTCACAATTGAAAATTTAACTGCCCTCATAATGTATCAAACTATAACAATAGGGATTTGACGAAATTGTCGGCAATGTGCATGGATTAAGATCGTAACATCGAGAGAAATGGAAAGGGTGAAGTTGGGAAACGAAACTGAGAAATGATTAATAGATAACAAGAAGAAGAAGAAGAAGAACAACAACAACAACAGTAACAACAGTAATATAAAAAACCCATCCGGCCATCAATAGATTCATTAGCCAAAAAATGAAGTTTCTACTTACGTCAATTTTGATAGCGACTCATATAGAAAAGCGTTTAATACTGGATCAAGATTTTCAAACATGATACATGTATATTTTTCTTTATTTGTTGGCCTATAGGAGTGCCATGCAAAGTTACGGGCAGACTGAGAAATAAATTAAAGCGTTGGAATTATATTAAGTGGACAGACGAAAGTAAATAAACCACAATCACAATATTTTGTTCTTTTTTTACAGGACAGCGAAAATGTTTAGGGAACTATGTTTATCTGTTCTTTTGAAACATAGTTTACTGGCTTTGTTATACAACACCTTTTACAGGATGCATTTTAAAAAGTACACGTATATATCTATCTATAGATAGATAGATAGATAGATAGATAGATAGATAGATAGATAGATAGATAGATAATCTCTAATCATAGATAATCTCTAATCATAGATAGATAGATAGATAGATAGATAGATAGATAGATAGATAGAGAGAGAGAGAAAGAGAGAGAGATAGAGAGATAGAGAGATAGAGAGATAGAGAGATAATCTCTAATCATAGATAGATAGATAGATAGATAGATAGATAGATAGATAGATAGAGAGAGAGAGAAAGAGAGAGAGATAGAGAGATAGAGAGATAGAGAGATAGAGAGATAATCTCTAATCATAGATAGATAGATAGATAGATAGATAGATAGATAGATAGATAGATAGATAGATACCTCAAAGACCGTTGATGTACAGTTCAACTGAAAAGGTCATATCTTTATTGAATAGTAGACATTTCTCGAATAGAACGGTTGAGTTGATGTGATAAACACTGGAAAGCACGTTTGGTTGTATAAAGGAAGCCAGCACATTTGATGTGAAAAATGATCACTACTGTCATTCACACTTGTCTGAATAAGTCTGATCTCAATTATAGACATTCTTAAACATGTTGTAGAGGCGACTCGAAACAAAGAAATAACAGCTGACATTCCGGGCAAACTTCCTTTTTAACACCTCCAAATGTTTGTTCTGAATTTAACATCCCCATTTGCACTGTTTTTATGTCTGGCTTGATGTCATTTACTTATTTCTTCTTCTTCTTCTTCTTCTTCTTCTTCTTCTTCTTCTTCTTCTTCTTCTTTTTCTTCTTCTTCTTCTTCTTCTTCTTCTTCTTCTTCTTCTTCGTCTTTGTCTTCTACTTAACTGCTGCTGCCTTCTGCCACAACTGTTGTTATTGCAGCTGTTGTTGTTGTCGTCGTTGCTGTTGTTGTTGTTGTTGTTGTTGTTGTTGTTGCTGCTTTTGCTGTCAGTCATTGTTGTTGTCGTTGATTAATCATGAATCCAGATTCTGTTGAGCTTCATTTAGTAGCATTATATTCTCTGATTAGGGGCCAACTTCTATTTATTGTTTCAGTCAGAAAGTTGCAAATGACATCATAAGGAACAACTCCCTGTCCCCCCCTACCCCCCCCCCCCTGTCGTTGTTTCAACTCACCTCAAGAGGAGGTACTCGTAGATGCTGGTGAGTCGCAAGGGATACATGAGGGGCACCAGAGTGTACACACCCACAATGTAGCTCAGGGCGAGGCCAATGCCAAGAATAATGTACATAGATCCGTACATGTACACTTCGCTGGGAATACCGATCTGGGAGATGGCTGACTGGAAGGTAGGTACACACATAGCGCTGGCTGTATTATTATTGTCTTTTATAGCTTGTTCACTTTCGTCTGATAGAGTTAAAAAAAAGAATTCTAGCTCATTTATGAATTTTCCCCTGCCCACGAAACTTTGCAAAGCAGTTCTGCTTGCCATCGACCAAACAAAAAGGTGTTTTCTTAAATAGCTTGACCAAGTAATAGAAAAGTTTTTCTTTTTGGGCCCTGTACTAAAAACCATTCTTTGGGTGCAAACACAGGATCACAACAATAAATGACTCACAGTAACCTAGCCTTCAAATTGTTCATTTCGAGACAGCAACACCACCCTGCTCCCATTCCAATGTAAGATAGCAGATTTCATCCTACGACTGTCTAGACGTCTCCACGTGAGTCTCGAAAAGTCTCTTTAATCGTGTTTCTTTGTCGTACGTTATATATAGTATGTTGTTAAGTAAAATGTGTAAATTTTTTAATGTTTTAGGTGTGTGCAGTAAATGTTTTTTGGGGGGTAAAACTTTACACCCCTATACTCAATTTCTGAGAAGATTAAACAGAGCGATTTCAATTTACCTTTTTTTAAACCTCGGCCAGACGAAAGTGAACAAGCAATACATGCGTTAAAGAAACACACACACACACACACACACACAC